AAAACGGAGGCATGGAAGACAAGAGGTCTATTTTACCATATAAGAATCCAATGCCAGTAGGTCCACACATCTGAAACACATGTTTCATAACTTATTACTATTTCGTAACAGTTACAGTGCAAAAATATGTAGACAATCCTACCTTGTGAGAAGAAGCAACAAGAAAATCAACATTAAGGTTCTGGACATCAACCATCATGTGTGGCACACTCTGACAAGCATCTACAAGAACTTTTGCTCCAACATCATGTGCCCATTGTGCAATATCTCTAATAGGAAGGACAGAAGCTACATAAAAGAAGAGTACACAATATATGAAATCTCACTCATTTCAGCTACACATTCTAGAAGAGAGCAACATGTATTATCTTTGTAAATACAAAAAATTTTCAGACTGAGGGGGCCAAGTGTGCTTAATTGGGGGTATGTTGTGATAATTCATATATGCACTAAGTTCTATTGTTTTGTTGTCATAGCAAGTCTCAGTAATACTCATGTGGTTTAGTTGAACCAGACATGGGACTCATTCACTGATTTTCTAGTTGAACAGTAAGGTCTGATCGAGCTTTCAAAATTATAAATATCAGTGCCGAAGGAAGTAAATCTTCACTAATAATTCAACTAAGGATTTATTACCCACTAACATTTCCACTAATATTTATATCCCTTTAATATTTATTCCCTATTAAATTTTTACTTCCCACTAATAATAGCAATGGTTCATTAAGTTCCACTAGTCATCATAATGGCTTAAGAAGACTAAAATATGAAAAACATCTGAACTTATTCCAAGAAAAATAAATTACGAAAATTGCATAAAAAATAGGAAATGAACCTTAATTGGTTCTTTAGCCCAAAGTCTACGTAATCCACACAAACAAACTCCAGCCACAGTGTAAAGCATTGAGCTCATTTTGCTCTTCAAATTATTGTCTTTAAGTTTGTTAATTTTTTGTTTACAATTCTTGGATTGGGCACCTCCATTTTGCCCATTGAAAAAGATATTTAAAATAATTTGATCTTGGCAAGATCATATCAACACATTCCTTGAAGTTCATCCAGAAAGGATCACAAGCTTATATAAAGCTAACATGAAATTTCACATCTGAAGAAATTAATCATTCAAAAAGAATATTAGGTTTACATTCAAGGTGGACAATCACTTAAATCTTTATCAAATGTTATAACATACTGAGATTTCACATCGACTATAAATATAACCAAAGTAGAGCTTAGAAAGGCTTGGATGCCTCACTGCATGAGTTAACCTTTGGGATTAAGTTAGGCTCAACCCATGTTCAATATGTTACGAGAGTCTATCATAAACTTGATATTGGGTCACCCTCAATTGTCTAAAAATCAACCCAACTCTCAATTGAGATCTCACATTATAAACAAGCCCAAAGTAGAGCTTATAAAAGTTTGGACAATCCTCACCTCCTGAACTAGTTTTTGGGGTTTAGTAGGTCTAACCCAAATTCAGGGGAACATTTAGCATAATGTTAGCTCAGTATACATTCAAGGGGGCAAACTTTCAACAATCCAGTATAGATGCCTTTGAAACCTAGTGACCTTTTTGTAAAACAGTGAGGAATTTTAGAAGTCAGCTAACAAACCAAAGAACATCAATGTTGAAAACTACAAAATTAACCCACAAAGCAACCTGATCATTAACAGCATAAATTCAAGGAATTATTCAGTAAATTGGAACTATCAAGGTGAACAATCATGGTTAGAAACATACCAAGCACATTTGAAACATGATGGACAACAACTATTTTGGTCTTCCTTGAGAACATTTCTTTCAATTTGTCTATATCTGGAATTCCATCTTGGTTTAAATCCACAAATTTCAAAACAGCCCCTACTTTTTTAGCTACTAGTTGCCAAGGAACAATCGCACTGTGATGCTCAGCAACAGTAAGTATGATCTGTAATAGTATATAAATTGAAGATGATACAAGGACATAATTTGGACACAATGACAGTACAAACAAAAAACATTATGTTTATGCTAAATGATTAAAAAGAAGCCCAGTGTCTCACCATGCTATTAAAATTTCTATGTTGAAAAATTATTTTTGATAAATTCAATTAAATCTTAATACTCTCTCCAAGTTTTAAGAAGATGCATGAAATAATTTTAGAATTTGTTGAACAAATAAGTGAATTTCCAAAATATAAATCTACAATTAAATACCTCGTCTTCAGGTTTCAAATTTGACAAACCCCAAGAATAAGCAACAAGATTGATAGCTTCAGAAGCGTTTTTTGTGAATACAATCTCTCTAGAATCAGAAGCATTTATAAAAGATGCAACTTTCCTTCTAGCTGATTCATACTCATCTGTGGCCTTTGCACTACACACACAACAATTATATACAACACAGAAATTAGTTATCTGAGTGTGTATTGACCTCCCGATAAAGCAGGAAGGGAAGAAGGAAATTGAAATAAAGTGTCTCCAAATTCCACATGTGTTCCAAAAGTAATACAACAAATACCTCAAGAAATGTATGCCCCGATGCACATTTGAATTGTAACCTTCATAATAGTTTTGCAATGCCTTCAATACAACGGTGGGCTTCTGAGAAGTTGCTGCGTTATCTAAGTAAACAAGTTTCGAGCCATTTACTTCCTGTGGAGTGAGGTAACTTCATAATATGTACCACAACAACATACGAAATGTCAAGTATACAATTCATGAATTCCAGAGCTTATTTCCAAAGAGAAATCAAGGCAAACAATTTTACTGTGAGTGAGCCATAGTTTGATATTATGATAAGACTAGATATTTCATCTTCACTTTGACTAGGCAAAAAGTTATTAACTTTGTCCAATACGCCAACATATTGCTTAGAAAACAACAAGGCATAGATGAAATAGTTAGACTTGCCCTCTACAACACTTCTTGAGACATCAGCAAAGATAGGGAGATGAATTGGAGACCCTTGAACTCTATAGCATCCATTCGAAGCAACTCTTTATTGCTCTTGCATCATTTTCTTGGTTTCACACATAAATGAGGATCTCAAATGAGAATCCAAACATGCGATGAATTTTTGAGACTTGACTGTCAAGATTTCAATCTCTACAGCACATATTATTCTTGTGTTTGAGAGGGTATAAGCTTTGTCCATCCGTCAAGAGGCATTAAATTTGTGACACGATAATCAAATTACAAATTCAAACCCTGATTAACCAAACACTTCTAAACAGTCACACAGCTACACTTAGTAAAACAAAATTGAGGATAAGATGCAAAAACAGACACCTGGTGAAGTATAGGGAAATGAGGACGGGTGGAGTGCCCCAAAGAAGGGGAGCCAACAGCTGGTTCAGCTACCGCTTCGTTCACAGATGATGCACAAACCGAGAGAGAAGATACGCGACGGAACCCAAATCTGACAAAGGATGAGCTCCTAATAGTGATCGAGCAGCAGTAACTGGGACTTGGAAATTTGAAAGAAGGAAGTTTTGGCAGCAAAACTTCCATCGTCAACCTCGCAACGACAACAAAATCTGCAACATGGTAATTATATTTGAGATATTTTGCATCAATAGCAAAAGGATACATAATCCTATGTTACATAATCACTGTTATAAAACAAGTAACAGCACTGTGAAATTCATTTCAACTGAAGTCCGAAATTCAAAAACAGGTATCCACGAATCATAAACTTGTCAAGTACACACCATTTATGAAAATAAAAAAGAACAATGATTACATATCAATTCAGTCTACAATGAAAAATCCAAGAACATGGATTAAGCCAAAATGAAATTAAGAAAAGAAAATCGAAAATTCGAATAAAAGGGTGCAAACTATACACGTACCTTTTTCAGTGAACCTGTTTGGGGAAAAACCCTCGCAGAAGTCACCGTTGTACTCTTTTGAAGTATGGATGGCTGCGGTTTCAGTTAGAAGCGAAGAGCGACTCAAATTAGTTATTTATCCTTTGTATGTTGTACGTTGCTAACGCAACACAAATTACAAATAACTGAATAATATTTATATGTGAGAAAAATAATATTATAATAACTTATTTAACAATACTATTGATACCAATTATGTATGCTATAATTAATTAATAACTATTATATTTAAGAATTTTATTATTTCATACCTGGTGATTTTGGATATAATTTAATCTGGGGTGAAGTTAATTTTTTTTTGTTTGCGTGTGGTGGTGGTGAATTTAATTTATCAGTTTATTTAAGTTTATAATTGAGTAAATAATTTATTGTAAATTGATAATTTAAAAAAAATTGTTTTGATATTTGGTGCATGCTTATATTAGTGTTATTATTGTTTTAGAATGACGTATGTTTATTAATACTTTAAATATATCATTAAAAAATAAAAAATATATAAAATAATGCAATCCATCATGAGTATTCTAAAATAAAAACAAATTATGGAAATAAAAAGTTTGAGTCCACACTTTTTTCTTCTTCACAAAAGTCAGAAAAAAATGTACAATAAATCATTAAGCTTTGTGTGAAAAGTAAGTTAAGGGATTGATATTAACAATTGAGAATATTTTAAAAGAGTTACTATCAAAGTTACTTAAAAATAAAAATAAAAAATTTATTATAAATATTATATTGACTGTTACTTAAATAAAATATGAAAATTAAAAATTAATGTTTAAAATATAAAACTAATATTTTTTAATAAATAAAGAATGAAAACATGTTAAAAAAATAAAAGAATATAAGTGTTATTTATTAAAAATATATTTATTTTAGCATAAAAAAGTATGTACGAATAACATTGAATATAACATAAAATTAAGTGGGTATAATTTTCCTTTATATCAAATGCATTTATTTGTTAGAAAATTATTAGAAAAGAAAAGTTAAAAATCGTTCTATGTTGTAAAAACCCTGCTTCTACCTCTCTCGGGCAAGTTCGAACCATATCTGATTGAGTGAAGGTGAAGGGCGAGTGAATTGGTCCTCTCTCTTTCTCTGACTCAATTTGAAAATCGAAGCAAATGGAGTTGTGCACTGCGAACGCGATTCTCCCACCAAGGTTCTCCATTCCCACACTCCACGCAGCTTCCATTCAAAACCTCAAATCCTCCGTTCCGTTCCCGCGCTTCAACATCCGCACCCAACGCAAATTCCAGGGTAAGTTCTAAGCACCAACAATTTCAGCATCTGTGAATTCTATGCTGCAAAATTTGTTGTTATGTTTGTGATTCACGACGCAGGAAGAAGAGGATTGCGACCCTGTGCGTCTGTGAGTGACGGCAGGTCTTGTGAGGTGGTGGACGAGAGCCGCTTGCATCGAGTGTCTGACAAGCTGATTGGGGTGTTCATGGTCGACAAGCCCACCCCAACCGATTGGAGAAGGTTGTTGGCTTTCAGCAGAGAATGGAACAATCTCAGACCTCACTTTTTTGCACGCTGTCAGGAAAGAGCCCATGCCGAAGAGGATCCGGCCATGAAGGAGAAGTTGCTGCGCCTTGCAAGGAAGCTCAAACAGGTCTTTTTTATTTTTAATTTGTTACTTTATGAATGTTAACGGAATAAATAATAGGACTAGGTGTTTTTTATGCAACTCTTCAATCACCATGGATGTTTCACCGCGGTAATGTTTGTTAACATTGAATGGAAACTTTTATAATGTGGATTATTGAGGTGAAACTTGAGCGGACAGCACCTAAAGTTCTGAAGGAACTGTATATAAGTCTGTTTGTATTATATTTAAGACTAAACTTAAAGGTTTGAATTAAAGGATTATGAAGATTATCGATGTGAAACTTTCAATTTTCGTTGGAGAACAATAAAAGTAGTATCCAAGTTTTTTCCCATAAAATACTTGGTTACTAATAAAGTCTAACTACAGACCTCAAAATAGTAGCATGTGTTGGGTTTAGTTTCCCACAAAGTGATGAATCACGCTTCAAATATTCATGCAAAGAGGTGTCTGCAGATAGTATAGTACTCCACAATTGGCCCTCCACTTCTTGCTGTTCCTATTCTTGAATCTTGCATACCAATGCATTTGAGAATATGATACTAATTAGCAAATTATGGTACTTTATTATATCTATAAAACATAAATACTATATCCAATATTCATTAGAGTTTTTTTTTTTTTAACAGAGTAATTGACCTCATTAGGTTTTTTCTGTTGCATAAAACAATGATCTCATTAGGTTTTTTAACAGAGCAATGACATCATGTGAACAATGTAATTGACCTCACTTAGACGGATTGGGATTAGGCTTTTGCTGTTGCATAAAAACTGATAATTTTAAGATCATGTTTCTCTCTTTTGATTTAAGATTTGATTTTATGTTGTTTGACCGATTTCATATGTTTTAATTTAATGTCTTATGATTTTTAAAATATTTTGTACTCTGTATTTTCATAAAGTATTCTCCTGTTCTGTATTCATGCGTCCTAGATTCTAGCTGTATTTTCTATGCACAATCTTACCATGATCTACATTCATTGGAGGATCAGAAACAAAAATAGGGATGAAGATTGGAATTCTATTGTGCAGATTGATGAGGATGTGCAGAGACATAATGATCTTCTTGAGGTCGTAAAATCTGATCCTTCAGGAATTAGTGAGATTGTCTCCAAGCGTCGAAAAGATTTTACTGAGGAGTTCTTTATTCACCTTCACACAGTGGCTGAATCCTACTATGATAACAAAGAAAAGCAACATGGTACGACTTCATTTTGCAAGCTTTTAGTGTCTAAGTTGATATTTCACATAACTTTTCGGATTTAGTGTCCCTGAATGTTTCATCTGTTTTCTTGTATTGTAAATTGTCTAACCATATCAAGTTTAATCAGTTCATATTCTTTCTTTGTATGAGTATGACCAGATAGTGGTGTTTTTCTGGTTGGTCACACATCAAATTTATGACATGTAAGGAAACATCAAATATTAAATTTGTAGAAGCCAAAGAACTTTTGAAATTGAAGCATTATTATAAGTTCATAATTAGGAAAAAACAGAATATTCTCTCTGTAGCTTGGAGTTATTCGGATGGTTAACCAAGATCATGTGTTGGATGTCATATGTTAAAAAATGTGTTGCTTTCATGGGACAGTTCAAGCTTGCATTTGTAATGAATTTTACATTTTATAACCTATAATGTGTTTTTTTTTTGTATTCCAAGAATTGGTAAAGCTTGGGAACGCATGCTTGGCTGCTGTACAAGCCTATGATGCTGCAACTGAAAGCATTGAACAGGTAAATGCTGCAGAGTTGAAATTCCAAGATATTATCAATTCTCCTTCGCTTGATGCTGCCTGCAGGAAGATAGACAATTTGGCTGAAAAAAAAGAACTTGACTCAACATTGGTATTGATGATCACCAAAGCTTGGTCAGCTGCCAAGGAGTCGGACATGATGAAAGATGAGGTAAATTGATGGTGACCTTAATTTCTTTCGTGTGCTATTTAACATGGATGATAAGAAATTTTGGATTAGTATCGTGTTGACTGAATATAAACTATACTTGCTATTGTAATTTTTTCTTTCACTATAAACTATACTTGCTATTTCCTACTGTATTATTTTAGCTTGTAAAATGAAACATTTATTTGTAGGTAAAGGATATCCTCTATCATTTATACAAGACTGCAGTGGGAAATCTTCAGAGGCTCGTGCCAAAAGAGATTAGAATAGTCAAGTATCTTATTCAAATTGATGATCCTGAAGAGCAGTTGTCTGCCCTCAAAGATGCATTTACACCTGGAGAAGAACTTGAAGGAAAGGATGTGGATAATTTGTACACGTATGTATTGGATTTCAGTGCATAAAATAACTTGAAATAGAATTCAATCGCAATAACTTTTTTCTCAATATTGTTTTCAGGACTCCAGAGAAGCTTCACACATGGATAAAGAGTGTGGTGGATGCTTATCATTTGAGTAGAGAAGGTACCCTTATTAGGGAAGCAAGGGACCTGTTGAGTCCGGAGATCATCCAAAAATTGGAGCTGCTCAAGATGATTGTAGAAAGGAACTTCATGTGAATAAGAGAGCTTAAGAAACATGCTAAGGTGGTTTTCCTACTCTGAAGGGCCAAAAGTATATTCCTGAGGCGCGAGATTCTCAATGTCCACCAACTACAAGCCCCGAGATACAGTGGCATTGCTGCAGGGAAATATCTAGTTGCTGGGTAGTGTTTAAGGACTCGGGATTCTTTTCTAACAATAGAATAAACAACTTTTTTTTGGTGAATAATACATAAGCAAAGCAGGAAACAAAAATAGACAACTATCATAATTACAGAATCTAAGTTAGGTTTGTCTATTGTTTTTGTCACAATAACTACAGGAAGTTTAAAAGTGAGGAGTGAAATTTGTTCTTTATACGTAGGAGAGGGTACTATTACATGGTAGACCCGTAGATGAATACAGACAGGACTTGGACTAAGCCCTGGTACAGGGTGATTGTTCCACCAAAAGCCTAGGCCCTTAGTTAGAATGTATTTTTTATTTTATATTGTTGGTAACTCAAACGCCATTTTTTATTTTTTATTCTACTGTTTTGGCTTCCAGGTCTGAGCAAATGATCACTCAATTAGGGCTGTTTTTTGTTTTGAAAACGGATTTTTCTCAAAAAAAAAAAAAAAGTGTTTGATTTGATAAAGCTGTTCTAGTTTGAAAAATTGAAAATCTACATTTTTGTACGAAATTTTATAGCATCGATAATATTTTATAGCCAAATTTCTTTTCATGAATTGGCTTCCTCGTCCTCATTGCGCTGTGATCTCTGAAAATAATAATTTTTGGCTTCTTCTATATAAATAACTTTTTTGTTAACTTTATTGTTAAAAAAACAACTATTTCATTTGAATTAAAAATTTCTTTTTATTTGTGCTATGCTCTGGATATATAATATGTAGGGCACACAAGTAATTTAATTTCACGGCATCGATGGCCTTTTTTTCTCCCAAATTCTCTTAATTAGTGTTAAAATAGGTTCGTCGAAAAGGCTCAAAAATTAAATAAGGTTAGAGAAAAAAAATCTGTAAGTTCAATTGAATCAGATTGATTTTGGTATAATTTTATTTAGTATGTAGACTTATTTGCATATTTGTTTATAAAATAATAATTTTTAATTAAAAATAAAAATAATATTATTTTTATAAAAAAATTTATAAATATATATATATATATATTATAAATTAATTTAATAAAAGATTTACTTATTTTAAGAATAAATATCATAATAAATATAAAAAATCCTTAAAATTAAGAATAATTACTATTTTAAGATAAAAATTTACTAACAAATAATAATAAATGTATAAATTTTTAATTCTTATTTTAAAATTAAATAAACGCACTTTCTAATAATTTATGCCATCAAATTTTTTACTTAATATGTAGGATTAGACCAAAGTGGACTAGACCGCCTATTTTGACTATTCAACTCTTAAGTATAAATTTGTGTCCAACGTTTCCAATCCATGACAAATGGGTGATTATAATCCATGACAAATGAGCTTATTAATGAAATCCAGTGAACACCTAAAACAACATCCGCCCATGAGAGCTCCAAAGGGTGAAGGTCAGTAAGAAATGTATGGTCAGCAAGTGTTAATTGGGCCTGAGAACAAAATGTTGAACGGGGAAGAAAGTCATCATTTCCAATCATTACTTGTAATGGGCTTGCTGTAGGATCCAATGGCAACTGGAGAAACTGGGTCACACACGTATGGGTAATATCCACTAATATTTGCACCTTATACCCATTTATGGATCCAGTAACCAAGAAGGTGTGTGGGTTCCATTGCCCCGATAGTGCGTGAAGGCTGATGAGACCCGCCTCTAACAATGGATCATTAGTGGAATCAGAATCCAACTCGAGAAGCTGCTCTGGAGGGTCATCGGTGTCCACCGCGGTGAGAAGAAGGAATTGCGGTTTGCAACGGTGCCCCCACCCCCCGGGTGTACCGTTCGTCGCAATTATAGCATAGGTTCTTGTCACGACGTACTTGCATTTCGGCCTCGGTGAGTCGTTTGATGGGAAGCTTGGTAGGAGGTGTGGGTAAGAGTGGTGGAAGGGTTTTAGGAGAGAGAGTTTATGGTTGGGGTGAAGTTGGTGAAGGTCGAGCAAAGCGTGAGAATGGGGAAGGTGTGATGCGGTTTTTGTCATCTTGCAGTTTCGCAAGAGCAATGGTATGGGAAAGATCGGCTGGTTGTAAAGCCAAGATCTCACGACGGATGTGTGGCTTGAGTCCGGAGGTAAAGCAACTAAGGTAGAAACTTTAGGGAAGGCCAGAAATGCAGTTAGCGGGTGTTTCGAATTCAGAAAGATACTCTTGGAGGGTGCTGGTCTGTGTAAGCTTGCAGATGACAGTAATGTGGTCTTCGAATTTGGAAGGAGCAAAACGAAGCTCAAGAGCATGAAGGAAAGCTTCCAAGATGTGAGCAAGGCATTGTTGAACATCCACTTAAACCAAGCCAAGGCCGGACCCACGAGGTAGAATGAAGCAACTTGAATTCGTTGATCAGTGGGGGTGTTATGGAACTCGAAGAACTGGTTGACTTTGAAAATCCACCCCAGTGCGTCGGAGCCATCAAAGGTGGGGAGGTCGAATTTTATGGGTCTGGTGGGGGGTGGTGATGGGGGTTGGATGATGAACGGGATTCCAAGGCGGATGTGCGGTCAGAGATATCGTGTAAGGTGTTGGCAAAATTTGCTTGAGCAAGGAGGATCTGTTCAAGCAATTTGTTGATGTTGGTTGTGTTGGATGAAGATGAGTTCTTAGCCATGGAGGAAAGTAAGGTAATGAAAGCACCTAATGTTAGAGTAAATGGAAAGAAGAGAATAACAGAAAAGGGGAGCAGAAGTCATAGAGAGAATCATCAACCAAATATTTTCTTGTCCCCTTTTACTGCACCAAAATATGCTATATATGCACATTCCTACAACCGCCTAACAATATCAAGGCAATTAAAAAAAAAAAAAAAAAGCAGAAAATTCATAACAAACTTGTGATTCCCAAATCATTCTTAATGGATTTGCCTTTCTCACATGCATGAGTAAAGTTATCACATAATCCTTAAAGTGTTGAGGCTGCCTTTTACTAATCCTTCCAATCACAGTCTCAGAATCAATGGAGTGACCCAACTGTGATGATGCAACTATAGTGGACTCATTGGATGAAATCAGTGTAATAGGCCGGTGATTCTTACAGTATTTTTGAAATATTTTTTATTCTAATGCAAAATTCAGCCAATATTTTTTTAAATATTATTTTTTCTAATGCAAAATTCTTTATTGATATAGAAAAATTAAGATATCTAGAAAAAAAATTATAAACTATTATTAATATTTTGAATTCTTTTAAAATAAAGTTGATAAAATAGATGTGAATGATTAAAAAAAATGAATATGATTATTTTAATCTGATCTAGAGTGACAGGCCAAGCTACCCGTCCAAAAATGCTATCCAACACCATGAAATTGCTGACTGTCCCGTCCATTTTGCAACACCTAGGTCTTTTGGTTGGTTCAAACGGGCTCATGGACCCGCACTTAACAGGCTAGACTTGGCCCATAGTCAATGTCGTCGCGCTAAATACCGGTCAAATTCTAATTCCGCAGTTAATCGGCGAGCATCTCCGTTCCTAAGCATAGGAAGAACGTTCGTATCAATATTCAGTCACATTTACATAGTCAATATTTGTTGTCAATGGCCACGATTTCTCCTTCTTCAAGCCATACAACCTCCACGCCAAGCGTTGCTGATCTGACGAAGCAATTGAGGCTCCACGAAGTCGCCATCGCTGAGCTCAACAACCAGCCTTCTTCCAGAGTAACCTCTCTTCTGTTCTCCTTCAATCTAACTTTTTACGAAGAGTTCAAGTTCCAGACATAGGGTTAGGGTTTTTTTGTGTGGCTTAGTTATATATACAAACACTTGGCGTAACTATTACAACCTTCCCAAGGTAGAACTAACAATGAATCATACGTGTATATAGATTAAAAACTACTGGTATATCTAGGTTTAATCGCGAGTCTTTTTCTTTTTTTTTTTTTTTTTTTTTTGGAAAATGTTTTGTTAGGAGTATTAGGAGATTATTTTCGGTAGGTTCAGAAATTGCTGCATAAAAAAAATAAAAAAAAAAAACACTTAGAGGCACTGTATTCTATTTATATGCTCGTACTCTTCCAATAATTTTTTTGTTGTTTTAATTTATTTTTTTCGTTTACCTGCTATTAAATGTAGGCTGTGTATCAGAAGAATGGAAACTTGTTTCTTCGCACAACCATCCAGGCGGCAACAGCAATGGAGCAGAGTAAAATTTCTTACCCTTTCACTTGATCTTTGGAACAAATTAAAACTCTAAAATTCTGATTGTTATTATTATTTTTCCTTTTTTTTAATCAAAATTTGTGTTGGGTAGAACAACTCGAGTCAGCCAAATCGAAGCTAAAAGGTCTGAATTCTCCTTCGTAGTCAATATAACTCTTGTTGGTTTGGAAGCAATGAAGCACTTGCAATTGGCAACTTTATTTTATTAAGAGCTCTAATGTGTTATATTTTCACTCTAATGATATTGTTAAAGGTTTTGAACAAAACAAACATTATGTGATTACACTAAGACACTTCCATTATTTATAAATTTTTTGTATTTGTTTTATAAGCTTGACGCACAATAGTGTGGCACTACGTTAGAAACCAAATCTAATAGCTTTTGTAAATTCTTTGCACAATTTGATTTCAATGAAATGATATTATTGAGTACTAAAATCCATGTAATTTATATATGGATTTATGATTTTGATTCTTTAAATGATTATTAAATATAATTATTTATATATTTATAATTTTGATTTCTTTTATATATATATATATATATATATATATTATCTTTTCATATTTATTTATTATTTATTAATAATATATTATTTAGTCTAAAATTAATGATCACTATTTGTTTTATAATGATCAGGACAAACAAGGTGCAGGAAAAGAAAAAGTCATAGAAAAAGTCATAGTGGCGAGGAAAGTATAGTAACATCACATTTTGTCCTAAAACAGCAGTAGTTAGTCTAACTGATAGGAAAGATTTGAACGTGAAAACATAGAAAACCCAAGCTCTATTCGTACGGAAAAAAATACTGTTAGCTTTTTTGCCAACATATCTCATCTAATATGTAAGGTTCATTATATCCTATAGCGGGCAGCTGTATGATGTCACATACACAACAAAGGCTAGGCTAAAAATTGAGCTTTGATGCCTATCTTATCCAATAAGAGTCTATTTGATATAGCAGCAAACTGATTGGTAATGATAAAGGAATTACATGGGAAGAGCAGTATCTAAATTTTGAGGAGTGAGACCAAAACATATTTTGTGATTGTGGTGAATGCGGGCAAGCCCTGGTATTTCCCCATTATCCGTGTTTTTAGATGTGAAATGATAAAGTTAAGTGATTGATGTGATAATTTGGGTTTTTTCTCATCTTTTGGAAGCAAAATAAATTTAAGAATTTTTATAACGTTGGCTTTACCCTATCCCTTTGTCTTGAGTTAGGATACCATCCTCTCTTCTAAAATTTTACATCCATAAAAAAGTGGATTATTTAAATTTTAAAGCAAAATCTATATATTTTTTTATGATGGATAACTCAATGTTTTGCTGTGATGTGGTAAGATATTAAGAAATTTATAACTGATAAAATCTACATTTGGTATTTTAGCCTTCTTAATATTGGCCTAGCTGTTGTTCACTGGTTGTATGTCATATGCTTCCTATACTGACTCTGCATTTTCATGCATAATTTGTTCTAAATGATATTTGATCCAACACACAAGTTTTGCAACTTCTTCATGCCAAGATCATTATCCTTTGTTGTATATGATAGTTTTTGCGTGAAGGAGGTCTAGCTCAGCTGGTTAAGCAGAGTGTATGAGCTATTGTAAAACTCTCTTACCTGTGTTTAATTCTTGTATATTGTATATAGTATGTGATAGTTTTGCAAGTGTCAAGGGGGTCTAGCTGTAAATTATGTGATATGTCTTCACTTTATATAAAAAAAATTATATGATAGTTTTGCATAAATCATTGGATATCATGCTTCAAATGTTGTGCTATTTGATTATTGTGGGAGTTGGAAAAATGTCTTTAAATTCTTTGTGATTTTTATTTCCGTTGTGATCTTTATTTCATGGCATAATGGTTGATCTAAACGTTCACGTGTAAAGTTTTTTTTTTTTCTTTTATTAAAAGATGAACATTATACGATGTGACTAGGAGTGTCCCCATTGTTCAAAATCCTTTCTAAATACCGTGTTGATGACATTATGTCATTGTGCTGTCTATACACCTTTCTCATCCAACAAATATTAAGAATTTGTTAGTTGTAATTATTAAATTTGAGTGATGAGTTGATTTTCAAATACGTATATTTTGTGTATCCTGCAAATTCGAGAAATGGACAAGGAATGCACACTGGTGCAAATGTTACACTGATTTTTTGACAAAGATCCAATTCCATTGAGAATGAACTCTCAGTGGTTATGAATATCCAAACGGCGAAGGTGACCATGTGATTCTCTGGACTTTGTGCATTATTTTATAGATAGTGTAGTTCCCCTGTAGCCTGATCTGCCTAAGAGGTTGGGGCCTTGGCCGCTCTTAATTTTTTTAATTATATTGTTTTACTATAATATTAAGATAATTATTTTATTTTGGGTTATATTATGATATTTAAGTGTTTTTTTTATTGTTATAAATATTTGTTATTCTTTTTTATAGTTTTTGTTACGAAGGATAATAATAGTGTTAACTTTACTAAAATAAAATTTATATTTTTATATTTTTTTTTGGGAGACAATTATATTCTTCTATTTAGACAAAATATTTAGAAATAATTACTCTTCCTCAAGTATTGATTTGATTATAAACTATTTGAGGATTAAAAGTTAGTTATTAACCGTCAAAGATTTGATACACAGTGATAAATGTTTTTTAATTAATTCTGTTTATATTTTTTTTTTTCCTTATCTTTTTTATGTATACTCAAACATTGAATTTTTTATGTTTTTCATGGAATACAAATTCCACCAGGCTTGCAGATCCTTAACAAATATCACTTAGAATTAAAGTATTATATCATGGATTACCAAATCCAAAATGTAAAAAGGAGTGTAGATTAATTTGTGCATCATACAAGAAGAAAAGGCTCATTAATTGAAGTGTGTTTATTGAGCCCGTTGGTGGTATAACAATGACATATTGGAGCCCAATGTGGCCACACTATGCTGGGAGCAACAACTAATGTTGAAGCCCTAAGTATATTTAAATAGAGAACCACACTGAGGCATCACAATGGTGCGGGGATGGGTTTTGTCTCTCCGATTTCCGTTTTCGACTTTTTAACCATTTCCGTTTCCGATCTCAGTTGGGATTAGAAATTAAGTCCTCGTCCTCATTGGATTTCGGGTTTCTGTCCCGTCCTCGATTTATATTATTTTTAAAAAGATAATTACATTTATAATAAATTAATTTTACTATCTATTTTTTATATATAAATAAATATTTATAATTTATAATTATTAATAATTAAATATACATTTTAATTTATTATATTTATATTAAAATATGTATGTAAAATAAATATTTAATTATTTTTTATTTATAATAATATTATTATTATTATAACACTGTATTCAAATATTTGAATATTTATAACATTATTATTATAATACTTGTATTCAAATATTTGTTTACATATATAAGTTAATCTATTTTTAAGTTGTCATTTAAAAATATGAAATATATAGTTTATAAGGAAATATTTAATAAGTTAATTTTTATTCAATTAGTTCGAAGTAATAAAAATTTAAATTATCAATTCCTTTAATCCTTTAAAATATAATTATTTTATTAAGATAAAATTTGATATATGATAAATAAGAATAAGAATAATAAGATAAAAAAATATGACATAATAAAATCTAATAAATATAAATTATAAATAAAATAATATTAGTTACTATTAAGATTTATGTAAAATATTTAGAAAAAGATAAAGAATAAAAAAAAATTGTGTTCATCAAATTGGTTGAAAAGATTGAATAAAAAAACCAAATTTATGGGAGAGATTAAGGAAATATGAAAAAGCTGAAAGATAAGAAAAAGAATAATGTAATAAATTAACTAATATAAAAGATAAAAAAAGATAAAAAATTTAAAAGTTGGGTAGAAGAAAAAAATTGGTGAAATATAAAAAAATGATCTTATATATAATAGAAAAAGAAAAAAAATACTTTTAAAATATTAATATTTTAAATTTTAAATTTAAATATAAAGTCGGGAGCGGGACGGGGTCGGGATGGGGATTGCATTACCCATCTACGTCCCCGACTTTTTAAAGCAAGGAAAACCTGAACCCATCCCCCGGTCAACACGGGTTTTTCCCCGTCAAACTTGGAGTGGGAATAGATCGGTCTCCACATGTACAAGTTTAATTGTCATCTCTAAACACTGTGCAATTAATGATTCACTCAACTAATATTGGAAGTATCTCACTCCCTCATACTTAATTATGTTAAGTCAACCAATTTCAAAACTAATTCCACAATTCAAATGAAGTCAATAGAAATTTTGAATTATAGGAATTCAAATAAACTCCTATTCCATAAATAATTAAATAATAATAATTTGTGTCGAACTAATAAGTTGAATTTTAGAAGTTATTTCGTATATTTTTTTCTAAATTTTAATTTTTAATTTGTATATCAGTTTATTTTAATTTATAAATAAATTTATTTTTTATAAGGTTCTCCAGCACATTAATTTAATTTCACCGAAATTTGAAAATATTGGTGAGAGAAAAGTCATTACGACAATGAAGGATCTTCTTTTCTATTGGTGAAAAAACAAATTACAAAAAGTTGACCAAAAACCGCGCTCCACCATTTACAGAAAGTCGTTAATAAGAGTATTCATCAATTTCCTTTGACAATTTATTCGTGGAATTAGACAATAAATTAGACTTTGAGTTGGACGGGTAAAATGGGGTTGAACTTGAACGTATCTATCAACCTTTTGAACGTGTTCTTTTTAACTTGAATTATTCCATAAAAAAACATTATTTATTATTATTATTATTTTCAATTTTACCATACTTGTTTTAGGAACACATTTATTAACTTATACTATTGAGAAAAAGGGTAATCCAAAAAGAGTAGATTTATTGAAATAATAGTTTTACTTTAGTGTAAGTTAGATTGTTTTTTTTAAGACAAACAATATAAAAAATTGATTAATTAAATATTCGGAAAAAAAGTTATACATCAACAATATAAAAAAAATATTCATTATTTGTCGAATAACAATATTATGTATTCAATTCACAAATTTTTACGATAGTGTTTATTAGTAGTACAATAGTTGTTTTAAAACCATATTAACAGATTTTTTTATTGGTTGATGATGTAAAATTATTTTAAATTAGTAATATGTTATTATTAAACTCTTGATTATCAAATCAGAATCATGCTGTTCCTTGCCATATATTTTTATTTTGAAATTTACATGTTTGTCAGTTTATTTTTAAATATAATGAATTTAGATAAGATAAAATATAATGACAGGATCGTTGTGTAGAACAAAGTTTGCAACATGCAAGCAAATGAATGAGTAGGTTGAAAACGTTACAAGAAGGTAAATAATTGCATGCGCGTCCAACACCTGGTTTGATATTCCAAAAAATAATAATTTTAAAATCTATGAATAAAGTAATCAGAACCATGCAAGTGGTTTGAATATTTATTCGGAACCACACTGTCATCCTTACACCAATAATAGAGATAGCAAGCATGTCACCAAATGTTTGACCTACATTTCACGTCCAATTATTTTATACGATTTAATATTATTTACAACATACAAATAAACAGATAGCGATATTATGTTTTCAATATTTTATTCAATGGGACAGCTAGTAATTTATTATTGGTATCATACTTGTTATCTCTAAATCTATCCTTATAAATATTTCATAAGAAAAAAAAAGCATGTATCAAATTATTAAAACCATTTATATCTCTTGGTTTAATTCCTTCCATTTTTATTTTCCTTAGACCTACATACCATTAATTTTGTGTTCATCCTCCAATTTTGCACTGAATAAAAGCTGAACTTGGTAGAGAAATAAGAAAGGTGATGTGCACCAGAGTGGACAAAGACAAGTTTTGATGCGAAAGGAACGTATGAGTTGTTTCCATTTTCGTATAGCATATACCATCTCATAAGAATTTAGGTAGACCCATATAATTAGCATCCTCCACTTTTGTCTTTAGATTTGTAAAATATTATAAACATGTTTACTCAATATTTTATATAAAAAATATTTTAAAAAAAATTATGAGATCAACTTATGCATGAATTAATTTTACTTTATAAAAAAATATTTTTTATTTTTTCCTTATAAGAGTAGAAAATTTGTTTTTTATTTTAGATATAACAATTCTTTTATAAAACTAATTTAACAATAGGATAAAGAAACTGATATAGTTGTCTAAAAAGTTATTGGAATTAATATATTTAATGTGTACTGAATTAAGAGACAATGATGTATATAAATTATAATTGATTTTCACTCTTAAATGATATAATGATACAAGACTCGTGAAGGTAAAAAATAACAAATTTTTACTGGAGGACAAAGTTTGTCTTTGGAGTGAAGAATGAATTTAAGAGAGTAGAAAATAGGAGAAAGAGAGTGGAACGTGAAGTTATTTGAATTGAAAAAAAAAATAGAAAATAAAAAGAAATGAGTGAGAAGATTATAAAAATATGATTGATGTGATTTAATAAAAAAAAAATTAAAATAATAATTTAAAGTATGTAATTATCAAAATACTCTAAATAGAATAAGTATGAATTAAATTTATAATATAATATAATTTAAATTAATTAATTTATATTCTACAAATAAATGTGAGATATATTAAAATTATTTTATATATAAAATATATAAAAAAATAATTATTAATTACAAATTATATATAAATTTTTATTTCAAGTACTAATTAAAAAATAAAATATAATGAAATAATTCATAATAAAAAATAAAAAGTTACATGTTAAAAAATTAAATTTATATTTAAATATAATTTTGATTTTATTATAATAAAAATTATAAAATCATGTATAATTATAATTATATATATTATTAATACTAATTCATATATAATAAATATAATAATATTATTTAATATAAACTATTACTATATTGTATAATAGATTATATAATATACATAATCGATTATACAAATTTTTCTAATCGATTACATGTTTTCAAAATTTTATAATTTAGATATTTTATTTGTAAAACTATGTTATATATAATAATAATAATAATAATAATAATAATTAACATAAATTTAATTCAAAATACAAATTAAATCTAAATAAAACTGAATATAAATAATTAAAAATAACACATGATAGAAAATAAGATTATATTAATAAAAAGTTAAATATAAACTTTTATATATATATATATATATATATAATATAATATAGACATACAATTATTAAGTAAAAAATGAAAAATATAATATTATAGATTATAAATAAAAAATTATGAAATAAGATAATATATTTAAAGGTAATATGGATAATAAATATGTAAACAACTTTTTATGCATTTTTCTCAAATAAATATATTTATATTTTATAAATAATATTAAACTATAAAAATATTTTTAAAATTAATAATGTAATTTTTAATATATATTTTTATATAATAATAATTTATTTTGCATAAATTTTAGTAGAATTAATTCATATTTTTTTAATGTAATATATATTTAAGAAGGATAATTAAGAAAAACAAAAAATTTATTTTTAAATCAAGACTCGACTCTTAACTTTGCGTTCCATTTAATGAGAGTATCCTTTCGCTATATCGGTATTTGTTTTACATTCCATTTTAACATGCTAATATCGTTAGAGTTAATGTTCTTACCACGTGTTCGTTCCGTTTAACGAGAATTTTCTAATTAAGATTTTGATTTTTATATTTAAGGTATTTTTCATTTTAAAATTATTATCTGTCATATATTTATCTTTGAAATATGTATCAATAAATTAAGATAGGATAATATATAAATTCCGCTTTAACTTTGATGCCTAAACAATACAAAATTTATGAATATAAAACTTATGAATGTAGAAGATGATGTATATTTATCGAATATTGAAACTTAAGTCATTACAAGGGAAGTACGAGAACTTGAGTTATACAATTTATATAATTTTTATTGCTGGAAAATATAAAAATAAAATAAAACACAAAATATAAAAAATGCAAATAAAATAACTCTACGAAATAAATAAAAATTAAAATATTGTAACATTTAGTAGTAATTATCCAATTTAATAACTGACTGTATGAGTAAAAAAATATAAACAAGAAAGTTCATTGGACAGTTTTCACTCTATTACTAAATTTGGCTGCACCGCGATGGAAATAACATCATTGGATATAAAAAACTTGACTTAATTTATTTCTTCTTAATTTGGATTGTCTAAAATAATTTAGGATAGAAAAATCTTAAATTGAGATATAAAAGAGATGATACAAATATCTATACTCAATATATATTATGAAAGCAATAGTTTTTTAGAATGCATTTATCAAATTATTTTAATTTTATAATAATCATCTCTTTTACTAAAAGCATATATGTAATTTTATATGCATTTCATTCTTCTTCTTCTTCTAAAGAATCTCTTCCACTCATTCATTAATTTTCAGAAGAAAAAAAAGGCATTAATTATTCATGCAACCCTCAAGTTTGTCCTAAATAGAGAAGGATGAAAAAAACCTAAACTCACTAGAAAAAGAAAAAGTTCACGTGCAGTGGAGTCGGCAAAGACGGAGGGTATCATCATCTTCATCATTCACACCACAACACGTGTAAGGAAATGGCAAGTGGCAAGATGTGAAAGCAAAATTCAGTAATCTTCATTTTCACATGCCATGTGAGAACGAGACTTTGGTTTTGGCCTAAACACCATTATTGTGGACACCCTTCTTCTTCTACGTATTATTATCCACTTTAATCCTTATAAAAAAAAAAAATTAGACGTTTTCACCTATTTTAACAGAACTTTGAATTATTGAACTGCAAAAAGTTACCATAATTATGACATTGGTTTGTTAAGGCACACTGAGGGCCACAAAGTTATGTGCAGAAGAATGGTGACGCCACATTCAACGCAAGCAAACCCAAGCTGGGGATGCTGACGTCACCTCTCGCGTCATGCGAACCACTTCATCTCTCTATCGACACACAATGCAACGCAAGATAACGCTTTCAAGCACCTACGCCAACAGTGTATCTTCTCCTTTCTTTCTCTCTCTTCTTTGTTTTGACAACGAAAGACGAAACTTCGGGGATGCTGTGTACTTTAACTTCACAGCCGCGTGACGCTATCACTGCCCTTCCATCTCCCTTTTTTTCCTTTCTTCCTCTGCTAACACAGTCTCGTTTTTTTTTTTCTTTTCCGAACCTTCCTTGTATTTGATGCTTTGACTTACAATTCGGTGATTTATTCCCTCTTTGTCTCTCTGCAGTTTTGCCATCAAAGTTCGAACCTCTTTGTGATTTGGATTGATCTGATCCCTGTTTTGTTTTTGGGGTGGTGCTGTTCCTTGACCACCTCTCCGAGTGTAAATGAAAGTTATTCTTTTTATGATGTTTAGTGAAGTTATTTGCTGATTTTGTTATTCGGTTCGGGATCAGTTTTGGGTTTGTTTTGGCTATGCTGTTTTGGTGGCTTTGGAAGTTTGAACAAGGGGGTTCTTAGATCATTTTACACCTTCTGGTGCTGAAATTTTGTAGACATAGAGAATATTTGTGTTTTTTTCATTTCTGTGTATGGTAGCTCTCGAAATAGAATAGGTCTCTTTAGCTTATTTTTTTAAGTAAAGAAATCTTGTGAGGGGTTGGATCAGATGTCATGTGTCTTGTGAGTTGTGACATGAGATTTTGCAGTGAACACTTATACAGATCAGTGTCTTTCGTTTACACGGCATCTATACTTTCCCTTTTTGTAGGTTGCTTTTGTTTTTAAGTCTGTGCTTGGGAATTCAAGGTTTTGTTTAGTAACATATATTCCATTCGTCAGTTGGTAGTTAAACGGTTTTGGGACTCTTTCTTTGAGGAACTTGGAGGTCTGGAGTTTTTTGATAGTAGAAGATATGTTATAGGTTGCAAGGCTCTCAAATTGTTCACAAATGGCTTATTCAGCCGAACCCTCATCTTCTTTGAGCTTTACATCATCTTCCCATTTATCAAATGGCTCAGTTAGTCACAACATATGCTCTTCTTATGGCTCCGACCCTGGACCTAACATTGAGGTTATCAGTTTGAGTAGGCTTAGCTCCAACTTGGAGCAGCTTTTGATCGAATCTGACTCTGATTATAGTGATGCTGACATCATTGTGGAAGGAATTCCGGTTAGTGTTCATCGATGTATTCTGGCATCCAGAAGTAAGTTTTTCCATGAATTATTTAAGAGAGAGAAGGCATCATCAGAAAAAGAAGCGAAATTGAAGTACAACATGAGTGATTTGTTGCCTTATGGCAAGGTTGGATATGAAGCCTTCCTGATATTCCTGGGCTATGTATATACTGGTAAACTCAAGCCCTCTCCAATGGAGGTGTCTAGATGTGTTGACAATGTATGTAACCATGATGCTTGTAGACCTGCAATTAACTTTGCTGTGGAGTTGATGTATGCCTCTTCCATTTTTCAAATACCAGAGTTGGTATCACTTTACCAGGTATATTATTTGTTTGATGACATAAATGACTTCCATGTAATACAATTCATTAAAGTAAATGATCTTTCACTGTATTAGTCTTTTACTTTTAAGTTTTAAACATTACTTACTTCAGCTCACTCTAATCTCTTCACATTTTTTTTCTCTCCTAAATGTCCATTTTGTATTATCTATTTTATAAAACGAGTTTAAACTTGACTAAAAATAGTGTCTAATGGCAAATTCTATGATGCCAAGATGCTTATACGGTGATTCGGTAGAAAAAGAAATTATGAATGCTGGAATAAAGCGATTTTTTCAAAAAAATTGGTTGATGTTATCAGCTAGAGTCATGCTATGAGGGTTGATCCTTTCCCTTACATGATGGGCAAGACTGTAACAATAGTTTGTGATCAGAGTTGTTAGAAATTGGGTTGGGCTCTTCAGAACATCTATGTTTCATGAGGCTCATAGCCTTTCACCGACTTGACAGTGCACCTGGAAGGCAGATACAGGCATGGGATCAACCTTATAAACATAGAACTTTGCTTTGTTAATTTTGCAGATAATACAAGCATCCATATACCTTAGCAAGTAATAGTGCTAGTGCTTCAATGTATAATCTTTCGTTTTCTTAAACAAATCATTGCTGTATTAAATTGGTTCTAAAGGAGTATAAAATTGAACTCTGTAATTAATATATCTTACTTTGTTTAGGCACATGCCTTATTCCTAGCATCTTGTGCCTTGCATTAAGCGTTACACTTAGCTCCACAAAATCTTTCTATATTAATGAATTCATGGACTTGTTGTATTGTAATTCTTGGGAAAAGTCTAATTACTAGTATGGTTGTGTCTGATCAGGCATAAAGATCAAGTTACTAATTAATACATTAAACTTGCAGCGACGATTGCTGAACTTTATTGGAAAGGCTCATGTGGAAGATGTCATTCCAATCCTCATTGTTGCTTTCCATTGTCAATCAAGTCAACTTGTCACTCAATGTATTGATAGGGTGGCCAGATCAGACCTTGACCAGATTTCAATTGACAAAGAGCTTCCCCCTGAACTCTCAGGAAAAGTTAAATTGCTCCGCCACAACCCTCAGCAAGATGTTGAAAACGATGACTCTGTACTGGATGCTTTGTCTCTAAAACGAATCACTAGAATACACAAGGCATTGGACTCAGATGATGTTGAGCTTGTTAAACTTCTTTTAAATGAGTCAGACGTTACTTTAGATGAAGCCCATGCTCTCCATTATGCTGCAGCCTACTGTGACCCCAAGGTTGTTTCTGAGGTACTGGGTTTGGGACTGGCTAATGTTAATCTTCGGAATTCTCGGGGTTACTCAGTGCTTCACATTGCTGCCATGCGTAAAGAACCTTCCATAATAGTATCCCTACTTACGAAAGGGGCTTGTGCATCAGATTTGACTTTTGATGGTCAGAGTGCCGTTAGTATTTGTAGAAGGTTGACAAGGCCAAAGGACTATCAAGCAAAAACAGAACAGGGGAAAGAAACAAACAAAGATCGGATATGCATTGATGTTCTTGAAAGAGAAATGAGGAGGAATCCACTGGCTGGGGATGCCTGTATGTCTTCCTATACTATGGCTGATGATCTCCACATGAAACTACTATACCTTGAGAACAGAGGTATGATGTCATGCTTGTGTTCTATAAATTGTCATCATGGTTCCAGCATCTATCTTTTAAAATGATTTGTTTTTTGTGCCCTGATCTGGAAATTCGCCAAACTTGTGTCGCTTAGTACAGGAAATAGTAAAGATATTGTTTCTCATTGTTTCTCTCTCTTATCGATAATTTCCCCCTCTTGACCTGTTGGATATTAAGACTCTCATTTCCTTCTGGAAGAACTTTTTGTGTGCAAAACACCACCTGCAAAATACATGTTATGATTATTATGTTTTGTGTTCTTCACTGCTTGTGTTATTGGGCCTCAGTACCAGCTGATTTTTAGTGTTTAACTTTATGTAATGTATGGACTGTGACTCTTAGTAGATCTGATGTGGCTCTATTGAGAATATTGTTTAACTGGTTTACTGTGTTTATGGGATCTTTTTATGCTCACACCATCAAAAAGTAAATATTGCTGCTCTCTTCTGCAGTGGCATTTGCAAGACTTTTCTTCCCTTCAGAAGCCAAACTAGCCATGGACATTGCGCATGCTGAGACAACATCTGAGTTTGCCGGTCTCTCTGCATCAAACTCAAAAGTTTCAAATGGAAACTTGAGAGAGGTAGATCTCAATGAGACTCCCACAGTGCAAAATAAAAGACTTCTTTCTAGAATGGAAGCTCTTATGAAAACAGGTAATTTCAGTCCTTATAAAGTTGGATTTTAATTTCCTATTGCTAGTTGTTGCAATTAAGCAATGTTTTCTTCTTCAATATATTCCTTTGGTGTGAATTTCAAGGGAGAATTATTTTAGTGATGCTCTTGACAAGTTTGTCTGTCATTCAGCTTCTTTAAATTGTTTCTACTGTTTTTTCTTTGGCTGTGCTTTAAATTGTTTAACTTCATCCTAATTTGGGATCACATTGTCACTTTTTAATCTCGTACTCCTCACCTATTACTTTTGTTGTTCTTAAAGAATATGAAAATAAAGGCTATATTTAACATGGGAAACTACTGCAGAGTAAATTAATTTACCTGAATCTAAGTTAATGGAAACTGGTTTTAAAGTACTGAACAAGCATAGTCTAATAACTCAGATCCAGAAATCCCGTGGACTGCATTTGTACTTCCACACATTTACACAGTCAGTAAATCAAAATTGTTGGATAAAGACCAGACAACGCCAATTTTATCGTAGTACCTGTAAAATTTGAGTTTGTCTTGTCTTCATTCAACGTGCAAGATTCTGACTGGACCAACTCTGGATGCCTTGAACTCATCATCTTCATGTTAATTACTTCTGAGTATATGCAAAACCTTCTTTGGTTCTTTCTTTGTCTCTACGTAGTTGCATAATGTTTCTGCCTACAATTCTGAATCTATGTTCTATGTTGTGGTGGTGGCAGTGGAAATGGGGCGGCGCTACTTCCCTCATTGCTCGGAAGTGCTGGACAGGTTCATGGAGGATGACCTGCCTGACTTGTTTTACCTTGAAAAGGGTACTCAAGAAGAGCAGAGAATCAAAAGAACGCGATTCATGGAACTCAAAGATGATGTGCACAAGGCCTTCAGCAAGGACAAGGCCGAATTTAGCCGCTCCGGCATTTCATCTTCCTCCTCTTCATCCTCCCTCAAAGACTCTGTTGTACATTACAAGGCTAGGAAAGTGTAACAAAAAGCATAAATAGCAGTTTTTGATTTTGACATACATATTATTTATAGTGCAAATTCTAAAGGTGATGTCACCAACTCATCTGTAAAATTGTGAAAGAAGAAGAGGTGATGTCTTACTGTCTTGTGTAATCAACACCATGTATTTTGAAAACAATTTCATATGCTTTTGGTGGAAAAAATTATGATTATTTTTTTTAAGAGAAATGAAGGTATATGAGATCTACGTTTAATTGCATGGACTGTTATAATCATATATGTGAATTTACTAAATGCTTAACATCATTTTAAGTTTCAACCTATGTAGACCCACCAGAAGTTAATGCAGGAATGGAACAATTTTTTAATAAAGGGTACGTTGGTTTGTCGACACTCCGAAGAACCACATCTTTAGTTTTGTAATGACTTTAAAAAAATTTAGGTTAATAATATATGAGATTTTTGCTGAATACTTCGTTCCCCTAATTAATTAATTATATATATATATATATATATATATATATATATATAAAAGGAATGAAATATTCAGTAAAAATGGACTAAATTATTTTTTACCTTATCTCTTAATTAATGAAGTACCCGTAACGTACCGAAATTATATATATATATATATATATATATATATATATATATAAGTTTCTTTTTAAAAAATTATAAATTATTTAACGTATAATACTACTAACTACATAAATAATAATCATTATGTTTCTTTTATTATACGTATTAACATGATATTGATAAAAAAAAACGTAAAATTAAAAAATAAATCAGAAAAAAATCACCATTGTTATGTAATGATAACCACGTAATAATATTCATGATCGTTATGTAATGATAACCACTGAATAATATTATATAAAATGATAATCAAAGAAAAATACTGTATGAAATTTTTTACAACACATAGACAACTCTCTCGTACCCTTAACCCAAGTACACTCATATTCTCCAAAACAAAAATTTAAATTAAAACTCACAACACTTTATTATAAGAGTATAAGAAAAGTAAAATATAAGCTTAAAGTGTTTTTGACTCGGGTGAGAAACCTTATGAACTTTAAGCCCATTATATAACTACTATCACCCACTCCATTGATTATCAAACGTGATATGAGACTTTTCAACATGTAATATTTTCATCAACTCAACATATATGATATTATATGATATACAATATATTGATTCTTAAAATAAAAAAATATATATTAAGAGATTATTAGAAAAATGTAAAAATATTTTAGAAACTTGAGCTGAAATAAATAAAAATTAATATTTTATTGAGTAAATTAAAAAAATGACTAGGAACATTTTTAAAACTTAATTAAATTCTAATAGTGACCTAATGGTAAAGTATTTGAAAATTTTGTATCAGATTTTAAGTCTAAATATTAAAAAAAAAATCATAACTAAATTTTAAAATATAAACCGAGAGAAACGTGTATTTTTATTATTCTAGTGCAAATAGTATAAGATTAGCTCCATTTAAATAAAGTGTTACCAAGTAATGTCACTCACTTACACTATCATTTCAAATAAAAAGAATATTTATATTAAATCTGTAATTTTTAGAACACTTTTTAACGGGATTAAGAAAAAAACAAACAAAAAAAGAGAAGCCAAACAAGGAAGTATGAGAAGTGAGCATTAACTAAAGCCACTATCTGCATGAGGGACCACGAGAACAATCACAGGCTATGCTGCGTAGCAGAATATAAAAGTAATAACTGATTTAAAATAGTTATTTTCCGTAGTATGAAAATAAATATAATTTTTTTACTGCAATAGCTTATTGACACAAAAGTACTTTTTCTGTATGCTATAAATAAGTTATGCAATTAGCAAGTGACTGCATTGAAAAACAAAAACCAAAAGTGAGGTCAAACAAGAAAGCATCAGAGATCAGTACTAAATAAAGCCACTATCTGCGGGGAAAAACCAGCAGAGCAACACAAGCCATAGACATCACTCATACCAGAGCATAAAACAAGAGCTTCTTAAAATCAATGAACAAAGGGTACTTGTTGTCAATGAAAAAAACAATAACTTCAAACTAAAAGAATATTTTTTAGTTGTGATTAAATACTATTTAATTGCAATTGTTTAATGACAGAGATGTACTTATCTTCTGCATGGTGTAATTAACCAAAGCAATTTGCAATTGCAAGTGACTGTTGTATAGAAATGTGGTGACATTTTCACTGCGCTGAGTAAGCTGGTCCAAAGGGGTGCTTGCCTTTATAGAACAGAACATTGTAGTTTAAAATATAGCCTAAAAGATTCACCATTCACTCTTCACTAAATCCAACCCTTTCTTTGTCTTCATTGCTGTGCCTCTATTCTGCTATAGCTAATCTACCTGTCACTGTTTTATCTTTATATTGTTTTGAGTTCCAAGAATGTCATTGATGCCCTTCTTACTTCATACTTCTTTTTCAATCCATTTCTCATTCTCCAACATATGGCTTCCTTTGGAGAACGATCTGCCCAATATCCAACCGCGGAAAGGCCGAAACACAAACTTTCACGACATGAGAAAAAACCACTTCCTGCATACATCTGTCATGATCCAGAAGGTCTTGGTTCACCTAAGCACAAGCCAGAGAAGGACACAGCAAAAAGTGTGTCTTCTTCTTCTCAATACAAAAGGGGTGGTTCAGCTTCCGAAAGATCAAATCCTAAGTCACTGGTGTCAGCGGATTCAAGAAGGGTAGGGCAGTTAACGGATGAAGTTGCCATTGGAGCAGTAATTGCTGTTCTCAGTGGCTACATAGGAAGATATGTGAAAGATGATCTTTTTAGGAAATCAATCCGAGAGAAGTGTAGTTCTCTCTTGGACAAAACAAGGACAAGGGATCCAGGTGATGAGGCTTTCGTGAACATGGATTTGGGTATGAAGAAAGTTGATAGATTAGTGGAAAGTCAAGGAACAATGGAACAGGCGAGGATGATCAAAAGGTTAAGGAATTCCATTGAGATTTTAACCATAGTTTCTACTTCGAATTCTAAGACTTCCAGGGGCGCTTCAACTTGTGGTGTGCCAAATTCACGTCTCTCAGCTTGTGCTCAACTATACCTGGCAATAGCTTACAAGCTACAAAAAAATGATAGGGTTTCCTCTAAGCATTTACTGCAAGTGTTTTGTGATTCTCCAAGTTTGGCACGAACCTACTTGCTTGCTGACCTTTGGGAGCATTTGTTTCTTCCCCATCTTCTTCATGTCAAAATTTGGTACAACACTGAGCTTGAGTTCATTTCAAAGGAAGTTCATGGTGAGAAGGAAAAGAAAATGAAGTTGCTCAGCAAAGTTTACGATGAAAAGATTGAGAGTGGGACTATTCTGTTTGCTCAGTATTACAAGCAATGGCTTAAAGTTGGGATTAGTGAACCACCTCTTCCTAACGTCTCTTTGCCATCAAGGCCAAGTTACAGATCATCAAGAAGAAGGTCTTCGGATTCTCTTGTTTCAAATTCCTCAATCAACCCAACCTTGTAAGTGATATAAACATCTTACATTTACCACCACAACCATATTTCTGTAAGAAACACATATGTGCAATTTGTGGTTACGTATGTGCTTTATGTTTATGGTTTTCTTCAACAGATACAAGACAGTGTTCGGCTCCAAACTAGAGCAGCAAACTACTGGTCTTGGTGACCAAAGTGGAGTGTTGAAAATCACTGCAGGCCTAGAGATTAATGTAGAGGTCGATGAAGATGCAAACAAATGCAGTTCAGTTCAGGTTATCTTATGTGCTTTCTATTCATAGATGAAAAATTCTGATTCAATTATAGAATTTCACTTCAGAAGTTTAACCTCCTTACTTTTGACAGAATGGTGATAGGGTATTTGTTGGAAGATCAAGTCAACTTGGAAAGAATCAAGCTCAATTATGGGTAGCGTCGCAGAGATTGGACTATTTTAGGTGTCTTTCTTGCAAGTTCATACAAATGGAAAGCTTGGAGAACAGCAACTGTAGATCTAGGAATGCTTCAACTGTTCTTTCAAGAGACTTTGTTGGAGCTATTACAACTATAGGTTCATCAGATATTCTAAGTGAATGTGAATTCGCTATTCGTGTGATTACCAAAGCTTGGTTGAACTCTCCCGGTGATCCTCTAATTGAAGAAGCACTAACACAGCCTAGTGTAGTTGAAGCTATGCTTGAGGTGTTATTTTCCTCAACTGATGATGAGATTCTTGAATTGATCATATCAATTTTAGCGGAATTAATAGGAAGGAATGGTGCAATTAGGCAAATTATACTGAACTCTGATCCTCAACTAGAAATATTTGTCAGGCTTCTAAGAAGCACTAGTCTGTTTCTAAAGGCTGCAGTTCTGCTTTATCTGTCCCAACCAAAGGCAAAGCAGATGCTATCTTCAGAATGGGTGCCATTAATACTTCGAGTGTTGGAATTTGGAGACAAATTGCAGACCCTCTTCACAGTACAATGCAGTCCTCAAGTGGCAGCATTTTATTTTTTGGACCAACTTCTTACTGGTTTTGATGAAGATAAGAACTTAGAAAATGCCAGGCAAGTTCTTTCACTTGGGGGATTGACCCTGCTAATGAGAAGGATTGAAGGAGAGGTCCAAGAGAGAAACAATGCTGCTATGATAATTTCATGTTGCATTCGTGCCGAAGGAAGCTGTAGAAGTTTCTTAGCTGACAACATAAATAAGGCGTCATTACTTGAACTCGTTGTTGTTGGGAGTAAACAAAATTCTAGTGGCTATGGCTTGTCTGTGCTAGCCGAGTTGCTCAACCTTGATAAGTATGTGCTTATACCTTTCTAGATATATTTTTACTTTTTTTTTTCTTGATTTGCCTTTCTTCTTCTATCTGAAAATGTTAAGAGGACTTAAATTTCGTACCAGAAGAACGAAGATTTTAAATTTCTTAAGAGGACTTAAAGATGGATGGGGTGGCCTAAACATAATGCACATTTTCCTCATTTACCTTCGGAAGGCTCCACCTGAAGAACGCCCAATAGTTGCAGT